ATATATATATAAATAAAAATCGACCTGGAGAAATTCCTAAAAAATAAAACATAAAACCTGGAGATTAGCTCCGCCATCTATCTCAAATCTTAACAGGATTAAATGACACTGGAGTTAAGTGTGGGATAGTAATCTGATTAGTGAAGTGGTGAGAAAATGAAAACGCCGATATGTTGAGTGTACAGCTTCACTAATCCCCTCGTCCGCTGCTGAAGGTGCTCCGCAACAAAAGAGGAGACTGCTGCTGTTGTTGCACTGCAGCTGTTAACATTCACGACTGATACCTGGTGGGGGGGGGGGGGGTAGCAGGAACAAAAACATCCACGTTATTAGCTGGAAATGTAGTAGACTGCGTTGCATTGGGGGTATTTGCGTTGACTAGATAAGAGGCAGTACGAGCAGCAATGCAAACAAGCAGCCATGTAAGGTTACAGCTGTTGATGTGAACCGAAAACACAGACAGCTGCTTCAAATCTGCTCTATTCTTCCATTTAACGCTCCTATTAGAGCACTAATGTGGCCACGTGTATTAATAAAGCGGGTGAAGTTCGTATAAACATGTAATATTATAATTTCACTGTTAGAAATAGGCCGATTTAACGCCAAGACCCAACGTCGGACAGCATCAGAATGGGACCCCAGCGTAACGACGGTGTTCTGCGGCTAGCAGCGATGCTAACATGTTGTACCACACAGACAAAAAAAAAAAAAAAGACAGACACAAAAGACACTAACCTGAATTACTGTCGAGTCAGCGTCTCATTTAACGGCGTCCCAAGGTTGTGAGCCAGGTGCTACTATCCGAAAAAAAAAAAAAACGTGCAGAGAAGTTGGCATTAAGGTAGTTTACACAGATTTCGCTTCGGGGTTAGTTCAATAAGGTAGCTTTCGCTGGGGTTAGCAGCTAACGTGGCTAACGCTGCCCACTTTAAAGAGCAACTCGAAGCTGGCCCAGTTCGCACATTCTCCTCAGCAAAGCCGTCCTCAAGTTGTTTCACTCAGTCGTCCTCCCCTCCTCCTCCTCGGTTGTTTTCAGACGTGGGGAAAGGAGGAAAAAAAAAAAAAAAAAAGTAGTATTTACCTTCCAAATGTCACTCGAACAAAACTAACCGACGAAGGCGAAGACAGGCGAAAATGTGCTCCTTAATTGGTTCAGACTTAAAACACAGAGAGCATTAAAAAAATCCAAAATGTCCACGACATTCAGCAAGGAAATACAAAAGGCAAAAAAAAAAATGCGAACGACCTCCGGCAGAGCGACAGCTTTTTTCATCTAAAGTGTGCCGCACCCAGGTGTTTTCAGTCATAATCTCCTTTCGTTTAATCACGCAGCTACATTAGGCGAGAGTCGAGGTGAAGCTACATACAGGCTGTTTTTAAGAGCAACATGAAGCGGTGGGGTTTCTTCGTCTTCTCCCTTTGCTGCGACCTCCGTGCTTACATGTAGGAGTGGGCTGTCCACCAGAAGTCGCCTTTCCAGCTACACCGACCCTCCTCCCCCCCTCTCTGATGGTGCTTTTACTACCCGGACACCTAATAGTTGAGAATCTCCCTTAATCTATTTATATTAACATTTTATTCTCTCTCTAATTAGGCTCAGGAAGTGTATTCACTCACACTACATACAGTAAAAAAATGTTCTAGATACATATATATATATATATAAAAGGTGGTGGCAGTATTTACAACAGTTTGACTATGTATGGTAGTCAAAAGAATGGGTATTTTATTTAAATACGTTTTTTTTTATCAGTCAAACAATAAGATTCATTTATCTTTTCATATTAAACTCACATACCAATAGCACAAAAAGTAGCTATCCTGTGGCGCCCCCTGGTGTCAAATAGGTTTTTTGTTAACCTTGCAGGGGAATTTTAATAAATCCCCAAAATATGCAAACCCCCCTTTTCTTCCACAATATGGTAATTACCACATTTTCCTAATCCTGTTCATCAGAAGAGAGATTTGTAGATATTTTCATCACAATAGCTTAATGCCTTTTAAGGAGGGAATTTATATAATAAATATATAAAAAGGTGTTCGCAGTAAGATTTTGAGATCCATCTCACTTGAACATGTGCAGTTTTAACATCCCATACTGTGTGTAAGACCTAGTGCCTTTGACATAATATCCAATCACTACATCTATATCTGTAAATGTTTAAATCTCTTAAATATAAAGGGAAATTTTATGTATTTTCTGCCCCCCAAAAAGATATAATGATCACTTTGTTTGCATAAGAATCTAACAGCTTTAGGTAATCTTTTATCACTTAAAAAAAGTGATTATATTAGTGCCACAATCAAGTGATTAACAGCTTTATAATGCACATAACTTACAGCTGTGCAAACACCTGCCAGGCCTTTTCCACGGAAGACATTTTGACAGGAAATGTGAAATGTAAACAGTGACATTAATGATGTCTGAATTCCCTTTAGCTGCTTCCTTTCCAGGGTTGTGGTATCGTGCATGCTGGCTCATTAACACACTGCCGTGGCTTACTGGGACACTTTTATAGACCGAAGATATCCTTTTTAATTTAATTTTAATTAATAACACATGTACTTTCTTTGCTGTGAAAAATTACTAAGAAGTACATATCATTATGAGGATTCTCCACGATCTACTGTACATTCGAACAAATGCCAACAGGTAGAAATGATCAAGTAGAAAAACCTAAACACAGTAAATTTAAGCAAGGCCATGTTTTTACTGACATGAACCTGCATCCGGACAATTAAAATATACCCTGCTTTGACTAAAAGATTCTCAAAAGGCTATGCAACATTACAATGTTTCTGTTTACTGAGACTTAATGAGTCCTTTGCACTGAAAGAAGGCATCCTGGCATGGGCCACGTCCGAGGAAGGTCTTCAGCATGTCCACTCCATCCACAGAGCCGCCTGCTTCCAGAATCACCCTCCTGTACTCTTTTCCAACCTGTGTTAAAGCAGACAGGTACTTAGAAAGATATTTTCCACAAAAAGTAAGATGTATTTTTTTAAAAGAAAGTGATATAACATGATAGATAAAGTGATAGTCATACCCACCTTTGGATTCATAATACCTTCCTTCTTAAAGCGGCTGAAAAAAATGTCCATGGAGTAGACTTCACTCCAGAGATAGCTATAGTACTGACCATCATATCCTCCCGCCAGGTGGCTGAAACTGGCCGTCATATTGGTACCTGCAGAGGACATTAAAATGGTCTTTGTGACAAATCATTAACACACTTTCCCCCCAAAAAATTAAATTCTCATCACTGATAAAAATCCTGATGCTCATTAGCCAACACTTGCAGTGCTACTGTTGCTGATGTTTTTACTGACCTGGTGTAGCAGGAACACCCAGGATGTCCCGGCAATGCTTTGCAAACACCTCCGTTGTATCTGCATGAGGGCTTGTGTGTAGTGACTGGTCCACTTTACTAAGGACTACCTGGCGCAGGTTCATTAGTCCTAAAGAGGTTAAACCAGTCAACACATCAACAAAGACTCTAGATTTCTGTATAAGAAATGTAAGAACTCAAAATGTGTCTGACCAGTGTTGGCTACTCTGGATGCGATCAGTTTGTCGAGCAGGTTGTCTGGGATTGGTGTGCCGTCTTTGTAGTGGCGAGACATTCTTCTCAGAGGCTCCTTCTCCCAAACCCAGTTCTCAAGCATCTGCGAAGGCACCTCCACAAAGTCCGTCTCCACCAGGGTGCCACTGAATTCTGAAAAAGTGGTCTAATATAAAGACAGGTAAGCTTAGTTTAAGTTCAATCATTCCAATTATTATACAAAGTATGTGCAAATGTAAGGAAACCACTGATGCCTACCTTAGAGCAGAGCTCGTGCATAACATGACCAAACTCATGAAAATAAGTCTCCACTTCATGGTGCTGGAGGAGAGAGGGACAACCTTTTCTGGGCTTGGTAAAGTTAGCCACCATAGCTGCCACTGGAAGCCTGCGTTTCCCATCAGGTCCTCTGCAGCCCGGTTGGAGCCCAAAGCAGGCTGCATGGCCATACTTTCCTTCCCTGGTGGAAGACAAGGTTGCAAATGTCACCCCAACAAGACTCAATCTAAACATTATTAGGAAGAAATTTCTCTACAAAGATCAAAAGCTCTTGTCACTGATAGCTTCAATCTAAGTTCTCCACCTTGGATGCAAGTCGAGGTAGAACTGGCCAATCTCCTCTCCAGTTTCAGTGTCGTGGGCTGAGTAAAGCGTGACGTTTTCATGCCACACGTGAGCATGGTCCACCTCTGTGAATGTGAGACCCAGCAGTTCCTGGTAGATACCAAACAGTCCCTGTGTCACCACATCAAGCGGGAAATACTCAATCAGTTTGTCCTTGTTCACAGCAAACTTGCACTGCTCCACTTGATTCATGTAGTAGGGCAAGTCCCACGCATTGATCTGTCCGTCAAACTGATAGCCCTTCATCAAGCACTCCCTCTTCTTTAGTGCAAGAATATATTTCCTCTCCTTGATTCCAATGGGCTTCAGTGTTTCATAGAATGTATCTGCAAAGTGGGAAAAAAGAAGAGACAGATGTTATACTAAAGACCTTCCACAAATGTACTACAGTAAATAATACTACTATAATAACAAAATATTGACACACTCATTCAGTCCATTTCTACTATGTGATATATGACCACATGCCTTCATGAGCTATAAATTACTGCATGTTACACTACATACAAGAGGCATGTAGTGCAACATCCACTAAATGACATGCAAAAGGCATGAGGTGTAGTATTTCTCTCTTCTAGTTTAGTCTTTCTACTTCCCCATCCGTGCCGTCCATCTGTCCAATGAAGTTTATTTTTCCATTGCCAAGCCGTTATCAGATGCCGTGGGTGCTCATCTTAAATGACACATAATGTTTGTAAATGTGAGTGTGTGCCTGTGAGGCGAGATGCCGAAGGGGGTCATACCCAAAAAGTCAGACACATTGCTTGCATTCTTGGCCATGTTAATCTCCAGCACATAGTTTGCATGGCTACTGTAGCCAAGTAAGTCTGCGACCTTTGCCCTCAGTTGTATCAACTCTTCCAGGATCCCTGTGTTTACCTAGTAAAATAGAGTAAGATATGCAGATCAGACAATGTATACAATAGACACATTTTACAAAATTTCTAATTTTGCCAATTAAAAGTTATAATCCTCAAGTTTTCAGTCCTGGTTGATGTAGCGATACGAGATTTCTGGCATTAGCAAACGCCCGTTGAGCAGCTACTTTGTCGGAAATACAGCAGAAGAGCAACTGGTGTATGTGTTTACAGCGTAGCCGTGCTGCACAAGGCACCAGTAGCTTTTCACACACCGGCAGGGCGCAGTCAGAGGAGTGGAAGGTGTGCAGCCTGTCACCTGCAACTCACATGTAACCGCTCCTTCCTGTTCCACCTNNCAGTAAGAAATGTTTGGTTTGCATGAGCAGTGATTTAATACAGCTCTGATATACGACTGTAGGAGAATGAATAGTAAACAGTGAGGCTGATATCTATGTGTGTAGGTCGGTAATTTGAGTCCAGAGCAGGAATGGCGGAATCCATTTAGACATAAATTCCAATTACTGAATGTAAATTCACTGAATGGCTATTTCTCATAGAAATAACTATCCATGACATCAAAAACAGGGTTTAATTCCCTAAAAAAATAAGACAGGGCTGCAGGGGTATATGAACAAGTTAAAACAGACAAGGCTTTCTGTGGTTGGGAAAGTGTAGGATACACAGATTTAAACTCAGACTCCAGTTACCTCTTTACACCTGCTGTGAAAAGCTGTTTCCATCTTCCTCCTAGTCTCAGGATTGTGACACCTCTTCATCAGGGGGAAGTAATGGGGATATTCAAGAGTCACTTTATACCGCCCATCTGCTGCCTTGTCCAGTCCATTGAGATAGCTATCAGCTAGCCCACCTTAACAGAAGAGGACAGCAGCATAAATGAAAATAGTCAAAGCTTAATAATATTATACGGTTGACTAGATTGAGATTTATGCATATAGTTTACCCAATTCACGCTCAGAGAAAAGAAGAAACGTGTTGTCCTCGTTCAGATTCTTGTTAAACTCAATCGAGAGTTCACTTATAAGCTTGGAAGTTCTTTTTATTTCCTTGGGAGAGAAAAGGAGTAGAATTTTAGAAGAAAAGTCAGGAATGGTGTAATAATTCAACAATTACAAGCAGAATTTGTGATCAAAAAGAGTTACCCAACACTCAATCTTCAAAAATAAAATGAAAAACTTGTCTTTTAATACAGTTAGAGGTGCATTCTGATTCTATCAATACTGAGTAAAACATGCTTCTTTGTATTATGATCAATTGAGGCAAAACATATAAATGCTTATTTTTCTAACATCAAGAGTCAAACTCTTTCAATATACCAGCAATGTACATGGTCAAAACTAGCTATAAATCACATCACATATTGTATTACCTCTTGTATATCTACAGACAGGTGC